GCATTAGTGCAAAGGCATGTTCAAAGATCTAATGGGCAAACCTATGCAACGATGCGCTTGAATAAATTAAGACATTTCTATTTTCTTGCCATGAGTTATGTGATGAACTCTAGCAGGTTTCCAACATGAGTAGCAAAGTACCAAGAAGGAAAAAAATAATAAAATAGATAAACGATAAGCTCCATCACTGAAAATATAAACTCATCAAGATCGTTTCAGTGGTGGTTCGACGTTTACTTCATGTGATAAACTGAACTGAAAAACGATGGCATAACTGAGAACAAAATTTATCAGACCAGGTCTGAGATAAAATATATATATATCGCGCCTGATTCGTAAACAGAACATTACCGAGGTTATTAATTTATTTGACAGACGAGAATATTTTGTTCATACGCGCAGTTCCTTTCAACCACATATTACCGTTCCGAACGAATCGTCTGTTTATCGATGAGTGCCAAATTCAGTGGATTTTCAATACCACAGTTACATCGATACATTTCATTAGTTTTGGTATTGTGTAGAAATGCCTTGTCGTTAAGTCATACGTAAAATACACAACATATTGTGATACAACGATAAAAAGAAAATCAGTCAAAATTAAAGTCTGATGAAACTTCTTAAGACGCATGACTGAAAAAATATTCATAATTGCAAAACACTCAAATTACACGAATTCTGGGTTACTTGCAAACACGACAAACCCATGATACCATAAATACCATCTCAACAGAAAAGGTATTTACCGAAAACGCATATAGTTCACTGAAAATGATATAAATGCAAAGTATTAACAATGACTAAAGTAAAATAATGATATAAATTGCAAAGTAGTTTAAGAAAAAAACGTCGAATATTTCATTGTCGTAACAATCTAGTTCAAAACGGCAGTTAATCGGTAGGGATTATACCGCAAATCTTCTGCTTACAGAAGCTACAAAATTTTCGATCATATTCTTAAGATAATGAAACGAAATTTGTTACTACAATTTGAAACGCAAGAGATTCTGCCTATGTGATTTCATAAGAAACGTGCGACATTTAATGATAGAGAATTCTTTCATGCACACTTTAAGCGGTTGATATTGAATATCTTTTGGGCAACTCAATCCATAGAGATTTATAGTGACTACGCTCAGCACCCACATCAAGTCATAACCTGAAGAAAGACAAAAGAAAACTTTGCTGTTTGCTAGCATAAAAAATATATTTAAAAACAAAACTGTGTATTAAAACTCAATCAGCTGTCTTCTCAACTTGGGTTCGCTTGCAACACAGCTAGTAATAATCTGTCATTCATCCAACTGTCACTGAACGACTTGTTTTTGTGAATTATGAGATAAAACGCGCCCCAACAATCGTTGCAGTCTATTTAATTTATATCATATAAGCATTTGCATTTAGCACCCAATGAAGGATGGGTAAGCCGTTCAGGCGATATAGAACCGTTAGGATGTTTGGGTTAACCGTAACTAATGCCCACCACAGGGTTAGTATATTGGATGTCAAACGGACAATTCTCCAAATGCTCTGAAAATGCGACGTATCGAAAAAATTACATACAGGCCGAAAGTAAAGAATTACATTAAACAGAGAAGAACACTATACCTTCACCACCGAAACCGCCCCTTCCACGGCCCCGGCCAAAGCCACCACCGCCGCCTCGGCATCCGTATCCACCGCCGCCGTAACTGCCACCACTTTCTCTGCCACTATATCCGCCGCCACTTTCTCTACCACCATATCCGCCGCCGCTTTCTCTACCACCATATCCCCCGCCACTTTCTCTACCACCATATCCCCCGCCACTTTCTCTACCACCATATCCCCCGCCACTTTCTCTCCCACCATATCCTCCGCCACTTTCTCTACCTCCATATCCGCCGCCGCTTTCTCGTCCACCATATCTGCCGCTGCTTTCTCGGCCACTATATCCGCCGCTGCTTTCTCTACTACCATACCCGCCACCGCTTTCTCGGCCGCCATAACCACCACTACCTCGTCCACCACTGTAGCCGCTTCCACCTGAATAACGGGACTGGCATCCATAACCGCCTCCTCCTGCTCCGCCATGGTCGCCTCCACGAGAGTAACCACGACTATAGCCACTGTCATCATCTCTGGAAGACAAACTTTCACGACCTCCGTGGCCTCTTGAATAGCCGGCACGACTATAGCCACTTTTTGAATAACCACGATCACTTTCTAAAAGGTACACAATCTTTGGATATGAAAAAACAATTTATGAATAAAAAACCTCACCGCCGTATCGCTCCCCCATTTCATCAATCCAACTACCCGGTAGCCGTGATACAGTACGAGGGCAGCTAGTCTCGAATGGATCAGTCGAAACACGCGAGGTAGAGGAGTGCTGTAGAATATCAAGCACTATAGCGAAAATATTGCTCGGTGATCTCCGTGGAAGTTGTAGTTTCCTTATATCTTTCTGCCTTAGTTTTATGTCTATCCCGACAGAACCTGATACTTATTGTGCTCTTTTTACCTTCCTTTCATAAAGTGATGAAGTTATTTTGATAAATCGACGAACATAAACTTAACACAGGCTGCCCTATAGCATATTAGTGAATTCGATACAATTTATAGCAGTCCACTCGAATATTCTTAAAATGAACAACACATCTGCGCTTCCGACGTTTTGTAAAGCATTAAATCTGCAACGAGCAAGTATGTCTCGAATATTGCTGGCGGTCTGATTCAGGTGTCTGAATCTGAAAATTTCATTTTCCGAAGTCCTTGTAAAGCCCTTCAAATTAGTACACGTTCTTCAGTGAAAGGGCTATTTTTAAACCATCGAAGCTTTACTTGTTGCCTTATTTAGTTCAGTCTTTTTATTTTCTTATTTTCATTGATTATTTCTGGTTAGGAAATCGAGACCTAAATCCTCAATGAACTACCGTCTCAATTTTGAAAGCCACTTGTTGGAATGGACAGGTCTGAAGTACTTGCATAACATTTCAGGATTTTTTTTTGTCTTGGGGGCTGAAGCCTCGGTGTTTTCGCTGTGCAGGAGAGAGTGAATTTAATTGTAGAACAAGATAGATGGTTCATGGTGATGAGCTAGTAGATTAAGATGTATTCTGAAACGGACAATGTTTATTCATACCTTATGTGCTTATCACGGCGAATGAATGGTGACTGATTTTATAGCTTTACCTTTTTTTATCTTCTCTTGTCTTCCTGTATGATGATTGCATACATAATCTTACCTTCGCCCTAATTGACTTGCTCCAAGATCAGAGTGCTTGCATCCAACATGACAAACTTTCCTTATCTCAGTGACGTATGGTTCCCGAAAGCCTTCGACCCATGGGCTTCAGAGAACACGTTCGCTTGATTATGCACTCCTAATCTACGAATTAATTATGTACTCTACGAAATTGGAAATGGCGGAAAGCGCGAAAGTTCTCCTGCAGAGGTGACCAAATCACCGATCGTTCTTTCAAAATTGCTGATCTGAAATGAAGTAGAACTGATTTCGCTACAAAACACTTGCTGAAACAAGAGCAGCCGTCGCTTTTAAGGAACTCAGTAAACGGTACGGGATGGAATATGGGACGATTGCGGGCTGATTTCATCACATTTTGTCCACTTATCCTTCATAACCTTTTGTCCACTATCTTTCTGTTCTCCCCGTTCCATCGTGAGTTGTTGCATGATTCTAGCGTGCTTCTGAGTTGGGTTCCTCTTCAAGCAGCGAATCTTTTTGCATCTTGCTTGATGAACAATCCGTATGACTCCAAAAATCCTTCGACTTGTGGTTCACTAAGCCCGAGTACACTTCATTATTCACTCTTTATTTTCAAATTAATTTTCTAGTTGTCGAAATTTTAAATGTTAGAAATTGAAAATGTCGTCATTCAGTGGACAATAAACCCGCTGTCAAATTAGATGAACAACAGATGGGAGACGAACGACATCGCATCTGGTCACAAAGGAACCCCAGAGATAACAATCCGTCGCTGGTAGCAAATTCAACGCGGCGTTCGCGAGGGAATCAGGGATCCCGTGTCATACGATAAAGAAGGGTCATGTCCTCCTACAGTGGGATTGCAAATACACATTGAAAGTAGTAAAATGGCAGAAAATACGAATCAGTTATGCAGTAAGTATCCAATCGTGTGGGAAACCTGACGATGTTCCTACATATTTGTCGGTCTCTGTGAACTCCTCTGCAGGAAATCACCGTGAGCAGCGTGGTCGGAAAGGGCATTGTGAGAGTAGAGTGTCATAATATTACCGATCACATAAGAACTGTCAAAAAAACCTCGTACCACCCTGAGGATGGCTGTGAAAGAGGAATGGAATCGGCAGTATTCGTCGATCTCCTGATTGACCAGATATTTTATTACGGTTGTGCATAAATGACGCAACACTCAATACGAACACCAACGCATGAGGTAAAAAATTCAGAGTATAACCGCATATAGTCATATCGTCTATCCTTTTTGGTCGTGAAATTTATGCGACGACCACTCCTGTTTTGAAATATTATCCTGCGATTAAGAAGTTTTCTGATTTTGAAACTCCTATCTATGCCAGTTGCTCTGTTCAAACTTTTCTCGACTGTTTTATGTGACTGTTTCATCTACGCGATTACAATGAATATTGTTCCGCTATGAAAAGCGATGAAAAGGACTGTAGCGGAATTTATATCGTGTTTCTCTCTGGTAGTACGTATAGCTGTGTCACGATGGTTTTAGCATTCGGAAGATCACAAGGTTACGGGATTGCCTTTTGGTGTTCGTGAAACTGATGGTTCTTGTCAGAGCAGTGATGTGTCACTCATCACGGTTAGAAGTCATGTTCGAATTGTTTATGTTATTTCATTAAAGGTGCATTCGGCGATTATCTACATTACCTTCCATATCAGATTTCCAACATATCCCTAATTCAGCGTGTGCTGTCTTGCGTAAAAAGGCACCACTTGTTTGTTAATTTTCTGAGGACGTCTCCTCCTCCGCCCCCTTCTAGGGAAAAAGGTGTCAATTTATTTGATCCATGGCAGTCTGTTCACCGGTCGATGAATTTTACCAACGATGACACTGCTTTCATAGCTGACGATATTAGGCAAGAAGGTGACAAAATTCAAGGATAGGTCGGGTAATGTTGTCTTACATGTCATCTGCATTTAAAACAATGGAAGAAGATAAACTGTTGCTTAAACAAATAGAACTATCTACAGATTAGCACCTCATCAGATGGCCTGACATTTATTTTTCCTATCGATATATGTTTCTCAAAGTCGTTGTAAATTAGTTTAGAATAATGGCAGATGGTCTTTGAGCATGACATCGTTCTTCACTATCATTAGCATCCTTAAGGTTTTGGCTTGGAATGTTTTGATATTGCTTCCTTCAAAAATCTGTGCTGATTTCATCGTAGTTTTAGCATGCTTTCAAGAAACGGATCGTCCCTCTACGTCCGCATCTGTGCTCCTGTAAACCTCTGACCAATACGTCGTGAAGATTGCTAAAAGTTTGTAACCTATAGATTTCTCATCAGGAACTCGCACAGTTTACAGTGTTGCCGTGCAACACTTTAAACATCTATAGAATACAAGCTCTGTTCAGTCTAGGTAGCATGACCCCGTTCAATTGTCAGTGACCGCTATTAGGGGGCAGCGTTTTATGCATAGCAGTGAGGAACATGTATGGTGTGAAGGAAGCACTTCGGGGGCTTATCATATCCGATGTTGAGAGAGTGTGCACACGTTAGAACATCTGTTGCTTCTTAACAATGAATGGTCCATGACGTATGATGAAATAGTGACGTATCCGATTCAGGTTAAAATATCGTCAGTAGACGATCACGAATGTTGTCCTTATTGGTAACAATGCACCAACAGACTCATCGCGCCCTCTATTCTGCTTCTTCTAAACCTGGAATTTTCCTACTCTCCGTATAAGGTGTTACCAGTTGCGTTCGTGCTCAATCGTTGCGAATACCAAAATGCCTAATACAGTTTCATCAGTTACGGGCTAAGTGACCAGCAACTATGAGGGGAAAAAATCAGCTAACCTCATTGCTTTTTTGCCGTTATACGTCGGCTTGTCAAAGGTTTTACGTGACATCCTCGACATTACACGGGCGGAATTGAAGCACCCATTTTTCCAAAATTGTCCAGGCCGTCGTTGGCTCTGTCGGCGAGTAGAAATTTCAATTAGTTTACGCAACAATGACGTAGTTCGATGCAGAATAGGGTCCGCTAGAGTTGACTGGAAAAATCTGCCCTTTGGCGGTTTCCTTTAAGGCGCAAAATGTTAATTGTAATGATACTATTCTTTGGTGTTGGTATGATCCGATATTTTTTGAGTAATTCGATGGCGAAAGAAAAAAAGACACTCCTTTATGGAATTGCCCATCATTCTTTCCACTGAAACAGTTGATTCTTCGTCGTTATCAAAATACAATGTGTTTCCTGAAAAGTAAATCACTGCCTCTATACTTGTAGCCCTTATCCGAATTTCGAACAGGAACGCCGTTAGCAAAAGCCACGCGTCTTGTTACTCATAACGGAATTTTAGAAATGTACTAACTGGTTTGTCACCTATTTGACTGATGTGAATAACAATCTTGTTTACCTAGCTGATTGGTGCTTTAAACAGTGGAACTCATTGTTCCATTACACAAGGATTTGATTGGCGAGCATTCACGAGTAGAACAGATTAGGACAATGAAAATACTTCCTGCATTCCTTAGTCGTCCATGCATTGCTTTTTTCAGTTTTTGCGAATGAATATGAAATCGTCTAATAATTTCAGAGCATAACGGTGGGATCTTCGTGGTCCCGCAGGTACGACCTGATGATGACCTTCCTCCACCGGCTGTCAGTGCACCGAGTAGCATGGCCAGTCTGCCATACTTTGTTGTGCTCTTTTTCTGCTGTTACATCCAGAGACAACATAAATTGATAGTTGGTAGCTTAACTAGCGTAATGGGAAAGTCGTGTTGAAAATGTTAGTCAGGCAATGGTCAGTAGCAGCTCACGAAAAAGGTACGAAAGCGAACAAAACAATGTCAACTACGTTGCTCCAAACGAATAGGAAGACGGAGAACTACAAATCGATTAACGACTAGTGTTGAAACAGCACAACACTACTGTGGAAGCAATGGTAGTTGAACGGCGTTCAAGTTCTCTTTACAGTAAAAAATTTTTTCACCACAGTTTGCTTCTGTCTCTTGCGTTAGTTTGAAGTGAAAGATGAGTATCCATCCAGTCAGAAACGTTTGGCAGGACTCAGCTGTTCAAAACACTGAGTGTAGCGTGCTCTGCAAAAGAATTCAAATTCTGATCAGTGGCTGAACAATTCATCTCCATTCACCTGCTAAGGGGTAGTTGGACGTGGTTTCAACTTCAATTTTCCAGTCTGAAAAAACGAATGTAAACACGAAGCAACAAACGGTTTTCGCCGTAATTTTTTAAATTAAACAGGATAATCAAACTGTATTAAAATTCTGTTCTGAAAGTTCGTGGAAAACCGTAGGATGTAGGGAAATATTTCTATGGCGCCAACTGGGCTCAAGCAGATCCTACAGTTTGTTCGAAACTGTCTACTTAGATGCCTGCTATTTACCTATTTCTACGTAATCGCCTTGTCTCCAAAGAACTAAATAACTTTAAGGATCATAAGTCATGGTACAGTAAACAAACATGCATTTTTCCGAACCGTTAAAACAGTTGACAGTACCTATTACAAATCAACGTGCATAACTTTACATGAGAAAAGAACTTTGCAGATCTATATTATCAGATCTTTTCTGTAGGCTTCTATAACAAGTACATAAAAAATTTTATTAAAACAGATATGTGTAATTTAAAACACGTTAATAATACAACAATTTAGTACTGTCCCTTTTTAATGTAAATGTGAAAAGAAAACTCTGTAAATGTGGATATCGGAGTTTTATGTATTAAATGATGAAACTCACCGTTACGGCAGTACCATATATTTACATGTCAGAAACGAAGAGCATGTAACTTTAAAAAGCTTCATAAATAGAAAGGTTATCATCACGCTACGTTGGTAGTACTAACGAGGTACCTGCTATAGCGGTCGATGGATATTGCCGCACGGTATTGGAATAAACATCGGTACACTTGTGCCATGGTGTGTCATTGACACTGACGATCAGAAGATGTTGGCTTCGAATCCAAGTCAAATCGCATATTTCTCATTCATTAAATGCCGATTATGGAGTTGTAAAATCAAGCAGTAGATAGTTATAAGCTATGATTGCAGCTTGTTGTTACTGTTGACATCGACATCTAAGGTATTGGAGTCAAGGTCCGATTACCAAGATCAACGACTCAGTCAGAAGCTCAGGCTTCTCAGAGTGATTTAGTGTCGTTGGATACTCGTGCAAAGGTCGTGTACCTCATCACAAGCAAGTTCACTACCAGCAGCTGCTATAGGGTGCGACGTTCGCTTTCGAAGCGCGCGTGGCCAATTTTTGTTTACCAGAGGAGAACGTTTCTGATATGTCTCCTTTCTCTCTCCGGATGGTTCCTTCAAACCATGACAAACGGCATCCAATCGTTTGTTTAGACAGCGCTTCCAAGCCGGTCGTCTCCCAGATCTTTTCATTCCATATTCGAAGGATCCACTCGACTTTCAGAATGTCCCGCAGGCAGCGCTGCTGAAAGATATCCGTGATCTTGGCAAAGCGGTTTAAAAGGGTTGATACTTTATTTCTGTATATGAGTGATGAAAGGACAGCGAATTTCAGCAAGGTGACCTATGTTGCTGTTCCGATAGACCGGTCCTGTCATACTTTAGAAAATCGCCCGTAGTTCACAGACGCCAGTCCTGTGCGCTGCTTTACTTCCACATCGCAGTTTCCACTTCTTACCAGTACAGAGTCGATGTACCTGAAATTTTCGACATCCTTGACGGTCGTTCCACTCCACTGAATTTTTGAGTCATTAGTCGAGTCGGGCACTCGCAAGATCTATGTTTTGGTGGGGTTAACTTCTAGATGTACCGGCGAGGCCACCTTCTATATGATGGTGGAGTCAGTATCAGTAAGCCACTGACGAAATTCATCAGCAGCACAGAGTCATCAGCGAAAGACAGATGTGTGGTGAGTACTGCTAGGTACCTTTGGTCAAGTCGTCGACTGTGAGTAAATCTGTCGCCGTTGTTGTGCCAGATGTTCCTCTCTATTACAAGATCCATCATGACGTTGAATAACAGGAGATCTTTTTCTGGCCCACTCCACAGCTGAGGTCAGATCATTGTGAAAAGGACTCATCTACCTGTAAAACATCTTTAGTACCTTAGGACAGTCTTTTCAACAGACCGACGATCTTCTGCAGTGCTCCATAGTGCGGCAATATCATGCAAAAATACTAACGGTGTATCGGGTGGAAAGGGACTCGGAAGTCGAAGAACGAATTCTCTAGCACCGAGATGTCACTGCACAACAGAGTCTAGTTCGAAACCTTGCTAGATTTGATCGAAGTGAGCCTTCGCCTGCGTTCTCCACTTTTCGCAGGACGATTCCCGCAAATGTACTTTCCATCACAGGCAGATGCGTGATCCTGCGGTAGTTGGCGCAATCAAAAGCATTCCTAGGCTTGAATATGGAAACGATCACGCTGTCTCTAGTTCTCTTTCACTTCCGAATTACATTAGATGTTGTCTAAGCCAGATAGATCCAGTTCAATTGCATTCCGCCTGGGCAATTTAGAATTTCTTCAAGTCGTACACGCAGAATTTCGAACTCTGACACAGACGATTGTCATTTATTTCATGTCTTGACAGAACGGAGCAGTCAATTTGCAATTCTGTTGGAATCGATCGAGTTCTTCGAACTCTATTTCTAGGTCATTCAATGCAGCGGATAGGTTTAGGAGCTCTTTGAAGTGTTCAGCCCATCTTCTCGAACGACTGTATGATGTAAAACGGGTACGCTGGACATGCTGCGAATCAGACAAGTTAGGACCATATGTTTCCCGCCATTGGCAACAAGAGTTTGACTTCTCTGTACAGCCTTTTCCAGTACTTGGTAAAAGCTGCCTGTTCCATGTTCTGCAATTCAAGTTCCATCCTGTGCCGCCTTTTACCGCGGTAACTTTTGTTGACTGCTTTCACGAGATGAGAATACTATCGCTTCTTGATCTCTTCACGTTTTGGTAAGGACTGCAGCTTCGCCGAGTTCCTTCTGTGGCGAAGAGAAAGGGTTTCTGCCGAAACCGACGGGTGCTGCATGGTTTTGCTTGCGCACAGTACATTTGCTGCGGCACTGACGATATAGAATTTGAGGTGTTCGCAAATACTTAACTGCAGATTGGCAAGGTATACAAACAAACTTCATACAGAGGCATTGATGCTCATGGTAGAGAAACGAAGGAAAGCTTTAAAAGCGCCTCATTTCGTAAATTTAATGGTGGGATGCCATTTTCCATTTGGATTCCAT